ACCTTTATTACATAATAATTATCATCATAAAAAAAAAAAAAAAACTAATTTAATACACTTGAAAAAATCAAAAGCAAAGCTTTGCCCAGATTTACCAAGATAGGAGAAACACAGACACAGGAATCCAGTTATCATGTGTGCAATCTCATTCACTCGGCTTCTGGCTTTCATTCACTTTTGCGAATGGTAATCATTCAGGTTTTTTTTTTTTTTCAATGAATGGCATACCAACATCGCATATGGCTACAGTCTGTTGCAATCTGCATAATGGGGGTAGGAGAAATGGCCAAGTGCCCACAATAATGGATGAATAACAACACAGACGTGACTAGTGCTTCACAGCTCCAAACTCAAGAGGTGGGACAACAACTTTATTGTACTATGGACACTATTTAGAGCTCCTAAGGAATCTCAACAACCCCACTTGCTCTCATATGTGCTATAACATATGTATATATTTGTTTAAATAAACTAATATAACAAGCAAATAGCTCAAGAACTTTTCCATCTTAAACTTTGTTGTAGGCTTAGTCATGATATCTGCTATCCTCCTGTCCGTTGGGCAGTAATCAAGGACCATGCCACCTTTATAGTTCACTGATTGAATGAAGTGGTATTTGATTTCAATATACTTACATATTTAACAACAAACTTGCTTCTTTGAAAGAGCTAGTTCTCCCTGATTGTCCTCAAAGACTTGTACTGGCTCATATTTACACTGATTGTCCATTCCTTTGAGTAACTGTATCACGTACAAACTTTCTTGTGTAGTCGCAGTTAAAGATATTTATTCAGCTTTTGTAAAGTTATTGTGGACTGTCTCTTGGAGTTCTTTGCAATCAGTGGACCTTTCTCTCTTAGACTAAAGCAGTATCCAGTCATGTTGGTCCTATCACATCAAAGGCCCAATCAACATCACTGTATACTTCTATTTTCAGGTCTTTGTTACATGTCTTGTAACATAACTCATAGTTGGTTGTATGTTACAACTATCTCATCACATGTTTGGCTCTGACCAAATGTCATTCTCTTGGTTCCAACCAGCACTGTGATAGTTTACTGATCACCCAGATTAAATGGTAAACTGTCTATTATTTCTCAAAACGTCTTTGTATCCTCAGAATTATTGTTGCCACCATGATCTACTCTTCATTCACATGGTGTTGATCTGGGCTTGCAATCTGTCCTGCCAAACTTCTCCAGTATCTTTGATATGCTACTCTTTTGTTCATCTTTTCTAGACCAGCACTTTGTTTGAAGTTGATCCTTAAGAAATATTAGATTATTCCAAAGTCTGTCATTTTCAATTGAGCTGTAAGTGTTCTTTTATATCCTTTAGTATTGTTTTACTACCAGCACCAATGATGAGATCATCTGCCCATGTTATCAGTATCACTATTTCATCAAATACTGTTAGGTGTATATACGGTGGCCTGTGGGATTCTACTCAAATTTATTTTCACTTAAATTGACATGTAGCACTTCATTCCAGTTTCTACCTGACTGCTTTAAACCGTGCAATGACTTGTTAAATCTGAGAACTAGTGTTTGACCTCAAAACAGTCTGATTGTTCTACATATATTTCACTATCAAATGGAGCTTGTAAGTATGTTGTTTTCACATACATTTGATGAAGAGGTACGTCATATTGTGCGGCTAGTTGCATTAAGATTCGTACTGATGTAACGTTTGAAGTTATGGAGAATATTTCTTTGTAATCAACTCCCTTTACTTTATTATAACCTTTAGCAACATATCTGGCTTTATACATTTCTGATCCATCAGTTTGTTCTTTATTACATACACCTATCGACTCCACAACTGATAGTTTACCTTCGTGCAAAGTAGTCAAAGTTAATGTGTCTTTTTCTCTTGGTGAATCCATTCCTTATTTTCTTGCAATAAGCCGAATTATGACGGGGGTGAGTTTATGGCATCTTTAACGGTTTGTGGTATGTCAAACAGCCTGTACAAATAATTACTGTTTGTTAATAGATAGTCATTACCTGCATGAAAGCTTGTGAGGGAATGGGGAAGCATGTGCCCTGGGCGCTGGATGGAGAGAGGCATGTGTCCTACTTCACCACCCCCACGGAAACAGCATAGAAACATAGAATGTGACGGCAGATAAGAACCATTCGGCCCATCTAGTCTGCCCAATTTTCTAAAAACTTTCATTAGTCCCTAGCCTTATCTTATAGTTAGGATAGCCTTATGCCTATCCCATGCATGCTTAAACTCCTTTGCTGTGTTAACCTCTACCACTTCAGCTGGAAGGCTATTCCATG